TCTCTCCATCTCTCTCTATCTCCATCTCCATCTATCTCTCTCCATCTATCTCTCTCTCATCTATCTCTCTCTCTATCATCTCTCTCTATCTCTCTCTCTCTATCCATCTCTCATCTATCTATCTCTCTCTATCTATCTCTCTCTCTATCTATCTCTCTCTATCTCATCTCTCTCTCATCTCTCTCTCTATCTCTCTCTCTATCTCTCTATCTCTCTATATCTCTCTCTCTCTCTATCTCTCTCTCTCTCTATCTCTCTCTCTATCTCTATCTCTCTCTATCTCTATCTCTCTCTCTATCTCTCTCTCTCTCTCTCTATATATATATATATATATATATATATATATAATCTCTCACCATCTTTCTCTCTTGTCGTTGTCATCTTTCTGTCTGTCCCGCTCATCTTTCTGTCTTTATTTTTGTTTTTGTTTTTTTCCTGTGTTTGAATAATGGAAAATTGAAAAAAATAAATAAACTAAAAAATAAAAAAAGTCCAGAGTTAGAACATTCTTTTTTTTTTTTTCTTTTTTTTTCTTTTTTTTTTTCCATTTTAATTCTCTTTTCTCTATTCATATTTTTTGTTTCAACCTTTTAATTAATCTGTGTGGTGTCACTTCTTGATTTGCATTTGGTATTCATTTCTTAATCTTTTATTCCTTTATTCCTTTATTCATTTCTCCATTTTTGTTTTTTACCTCATCCATCTCTTTCTTTTATTCTTTCTGTAAATAGCTCTTCTTTCTTTACCTGCTTGATTAACAGTTTTAAGACAGGAATGTAATCAGCAAAAAGTTTGTCAAGAAAATGTTTGTCTGTACAAAATGCATAAACATTGTCCCAGTAAATCATTACATATTCATTTTCTTTTATTTTTATTCTTTCCTTTTTTTCTGCTTGCTTTCCATTTTTTTTTTTATCCATTTTTCCCCTATTTTCTTCAAATATCTGTCTTGTTAAAAAACAAAAAAAAAATGCACTCCTGTAATTTCATCCTCTGTTCCTAAACTTCTATTATTTTCCCATTCTTTTTTATTTCTTCTCTCATTCTTTCTAACACAGTTTTTAAAACGGGCTAACTCACTACATGCTGTACTTGCTTGTGATTTATTTTTCTTCTTTTCTCTGTCATTCTCGTGTTCTTTATGATTTTTCAAGTATTCAGACAATGGAAATCATTTGCAAAAGCCTTGTCAGATCCAGACTAATCAATTCAGAGGTTGATCTATAAGGGATGAGAAGTTAGGAAGAGCCATGATTGCCCACATCCACAAGGGATATGGCGTGTAGAAGAGGTTATATACAACACTTTCCAAATTGTTTCATGCTGTTTTGTTTAAGCTATTTGAAAAATTGTCCTTTTTAATATTTTCAATTAAGGTGACCACTGTTTGTGTTGAATTGAGAGTTATATTGATTTTCTAAGTGTAGCTTAGATGTTGCACAAGGCCAAGAGTGTGGGGCACCCAGTGAAGATCAAACTAACTACTCAGTTGTAATTGTTCTAACGAGACAAACTTGCTAATTATTACACTGTCTCGAGATGCCCAAAATGATTTTCTAAGGGTAGCTTAGATGTGGCACAAGGCCAAAAGTATGGGTCACCTAGTGAGGATCAAACTCACTTTTCAGTCATAACTGATCTAGCGAGATAAGCTTGCTAACCACTACACCATGTCAAGGTGCCCATAAATTGAGAGTTATATAGTTTGTGTCTCATTAAGTTTTTGTATCTTTGTAATAGCAAAACAAATAGTTAAAAGCACTCAAATAGGCTATTCAAGAACATTAATATACTTTTTTTTTTAAAGTCTTGAACTCATTTGCTGTGTGTTTGGAATAATTGTGCTGTTGAAAAACCTAACTTTACCTCTGGTTGAGTTTTCTAGCAGAAAAGGTGTTCTTTAAGAATGGCTTGAAGTTTGGCAGTTTATGGTTTCTTCAATGATGTGAATTTCTCTTTTATCTGCATATGAAAAACATCTCAACACCTTGATGCTGCTATCACCATGCTTCACAATGAGCAAGAGGGTCCTTGGATTATAAGTGTTGTTTACTTTCTATCATACTGTATGCTAATAATAAATACCATAATTCCCCATGTATAATATGCCTTCATCCATAATACGCACACCTAAAATTGTGCTGAAATTATGAGAAAATGCTTCTACTTATGCATAATACGCACCCCCTTGTTTGGTAATCAAACCCTATAAATTGTACCTCTCCAATTTCATTATGGCCAGTGTTTCCTACTCTTATTAAAAAAAAATGGTTTTAAACATAGAATAATATTATCCTAATTTAGTAAGTATTGTTACATACATGAAATTGTATTTGACATCTTTATAGAGTTGCAATTGCTGAATGTTAGTGTCACATTTTTATGTAGTGATGAGTCATTTTGCAACTGAAATCGACCTATGAAACGGCAAATTTTTAAAGATTTTTTTGTAGCAGTGCATAATACACACCCCTAATTTTTCTTGTTAATTTTTTATTTTTAGAAAAAATGCATATTATACATTGGGAATTATGTAGTAATATTAGCTGTTTCCTTATAAGAAAACATTTGGCATTCATTTATCAAGTTAATTTTAGTTGAAATATATAAAAATCTTTCTCTTAAAACAATTTTTCCTAACTTTTTCTTTGAAGAAGTGTGGAACATCAACATCTTGATTATATCCCACTGCCATAATGTAGCTTCCCTGTGCCTTTTCTAGAAATAATTTCATGGTAATTGTTCTAACAAACTTTCCTCTATTGTAACTAGATTTTAAGAATTTAAGAGCAGTACTAGATTTGCTGCAAGGTTTCCTTGTTTTACAATTGAAATGGCTAGATATAACCATTCCATGCTAACAGTTTCTTCTATTGCACCTCACTTGTGGAACTCTCTTCCAGCTTCTTGCTTCCCAGTCAACATTGATCTTAAAAATTTAAATGCAATGTCAATCATTATTTTCTGTCTTAATTCTTGTTCTTTTATTATTCCTGCTCTTTAATAGTATTTTTTTTTTCTTATACTCTCTAACACTCAGTAAGCCCTTGCATTTTAGTGGTTTTATTGCCTGGCTTGGGGGTGAAAAGTATTTAAAAAAAAAAAAAAAAAATTATTTTCTCTTGAAGTTATATTTGTTATCCATTTTAGTTGTTGCTGCCATTAAAATTCCTCAAATGATGTCATTTCTGATACTTGGTAAAGTTCTTTGTGATTCTGCAGCAACAGTCCACATTGTTTGAAGAAAAATAGTCCTTGCTAAGCCTGACAGGTTTCATTCACTCAAAGCCATTTTTAATCATTAATCTGAGGAAGTTGTTGTACACAACTGACAGTTTAGATATTTCTGAACGGGTCTGGCACCATGCTTGATATTCATATAAAAATCTCAATCTGCCAAGGCTCTTTAAGAATGTGACTAGAGTTTTTCAGTTAATATTTTGGCTTTGTAGCAATTTGCCATGTTGAGCAAAACTACCACAACCTATTCTATATTGAATTCTGGATCATTGTTTCAGCTTTGGAAAGGTTTATCTTGAGTCCTTCTTTTTGGAACAATTGGTAGAGGAAGTTGATTTTTTTTTTTTTTTTTTTTTTTTTTGTTATTGCCAAATAGGTTGATGACAAAATATTGAAATTAACATCTTTTATTTATAGGCAAAATTAATGCATACATCAGTATATCTTTTCTTCATTTGCGGCATTTTCATATACCCTGACACTGCTTTTACTTAATTTTTTTTTCAGTTGTTCTGGTGATGTTCTTATTGGATAAAATGTTGGCAATGATTAAAAAAAAAAAATTAAAACTCTAACTGGTTTTACATATTCTGTCTTGTATACTTTGCATATTTTTCATATATATATATATATATATATATATATATATATATATATATATTATAATTAAGTAATTCATCAAGTCTGAAAGAAACCTCAGCAGGATGCAGAAAGCACTGGACGGCCGTTTCATCCTATATTTGGGACTCATCAGCAGTGCGCATCCAATACCGAGAATTGAAACCCGGACAGTTACATTATTACATTATCAAGCAAACGTCATACCAACTGTTCCAATGGGCCTCGGTGAAAAAGAGGGAGTGAATTGGGCTCGATATAGTGCCGCTTGATCACATATTCCGTGATGAAACTCATCCGAGTTTCTCCTTTTATCCATAGGACTGTGCCCCCACGAGCCATGACTACTATCCCCAAACCACTCCATCCAGAGCAATAGAAGCCAGTTCAAGCACAGATATACAAGTGATAGAAATTAGGAAGATTTGAGATATATGGTGTGAAAGAATTAGGAACAGAAACATTAATAATGAGGAAGAAGAGCAACCAGAAAGACAGTAGATAGCAATTGACATTGCATTTAAATTTTGGGGAAATTAAAGTTGGCTGGAAAGCATGGAGCCAGAAGGGAGTTCCATAAATGAGAAGTGCAAGAAAACAAACTGTTAGCATAGAATTTATGGCTCCATCTAGCCAGCTCAGTTGTAAAATGATGAGAACATGATGCCAGTCTATTACTGCACTTAAATTCATAAAGTCTAGATACCATAGTGAAGAGCTCATCTGAACAATTACCATGACAGTATTTATAGAAAAGGCACAGGGAGGCAACTTTATGGCAGTGGGAAAGTGACTGAAGCCAAGATGCCAGGTCAGGACTGATAATAATGCTGATTCTTCTTTGCATTTTATCAAGTAGCTCAAGGCATGTAGCAGGAGCACCAGACCATGTGTGACAGCAATATTCTAAGGATGGACAAATGGTAGACTTATAGATATGTATGATAGATTCTAGAAAGAAAAATAGTTTCACACGGCACAGTGAACCAACTTTCTTAGCAGCTGACCTGATTTTCTGAATGCAAAAATCAATGTGATTGAACTAAGACAAATCTCTTTTCAGCCTGAATCCTCAGACTTGTTAAGCCAGCCAAGAAACTTTGTATAATCCTAATCTTTATCAAAGATAGTAGCTGAAAGAAAGACTTTTTTTTTCTTTTCTTTTTTTTTTTTTCATGCTAGATGAGGTTAAATTATAAAATGTAAGTTTTTCTCAAACAACACACATTCCTCTCTTACACCCAGAAATAATATTGATTAAACCAAACATAACTTGCCAGTCATTTTGTCATGATTTGACAATAAACTTATTTGACTTATAAACTTATTTCGGAAAATGGCCTTCTAAGGCTTTTTTTTTTTTAACAGTAAGGTTCATCATGTACAAGGACTGGGAGGCACTCAAAGTAGTGGGTTACATTAAGGAGTAAGTTATATGGATAGGAGGTAAAGATAATAGGGTGAACAGGTTAAGATTGTAGTGATTGGGGGCACATCCACAGAGTAGTGGTTCACAGGAAAAAGCTGTTTGAGTGAAACTAACTTCTCCCTAATGAATACAGAGTGAATATAGGCGGTTTGTACAATGTAAGTAGCATGGCAGGTCCTAGTTGTGAAGGTTAGACATGGTAGAACAAAGGAATGTAGTTTACCCAAGCACTTTCCAAATAGCGATAGACCAGTGAGAGACTTGCCACATCCCGCCAGTGAGTGTTTGGAGGGTGGAAAATAATTCTTTTCCAACAAGGATTCTGAGATGTTTCTGAACTCTATCAAGTCTGAAAAGTGAAGACTGGGCAGCTCCTGCACAAATATGACATTAATACTTCATTTTCAGCCTGATCTAGCTCTTATAAATATAGAGGATGGAACAAGGAGTCGGTACTTACTGGAGCG